CTACTGTAAATTTTGCAGTTAGCAGTTACAGCCAAACAGTGTGTACATGTACTTCTCCTCCAGAAAGGATTCAAATAAATCACAGTGTGTTTAAGAGGTTTTGTGTATTTCAGTATTGAAGTAATCCTCTAAAACAAATGCAGTTCCAGTTTCCCCAATTCAAAAATGAGTATTTGGAAAACTACTTAATGAAAAGCTAAGCTTGCAGAATGATCTATAAAAGTCTTTCACAGTGTATCCAAACAACCAAGCAAATCAAAAAAGGAAGATGCATACAAATTCATTTTTCAATTAAATGGAAACATTCTGAATTTGAGCCACGATTATTGAGTCTACTGCCCACAACGATTATTTACTCTGTGACCCAAGCAGAGCCCAGCTGGACGAAACTCACTCATCCTCACATTTTCAATACTGATTGATTGCCATCACTTAAGCCCATCTTACTTGTTGGGGGGGTCATTAGCCGTAGTAATGGTCTTGACTTCATCCACAGCTGAGTTGAAGTCCTTGATATTCTCTGAAGAGTACAGCCCAGATGGATTATTGTACTGGTTAGTCACCACTTTGGGGCCGAAACCAGTGAAAGGCAGGGCGCTCCTGTTGTGGGTCGAGCCTATGTGTTTCACCTCCTGCAAAAACCAAGCTGCAAAAGTTAGGAGAGTGCAATATTTATGAAATTCAAGTGTGATTGAAACAAGCAATACTCTCTGTGCACACCTGATGAGCTATAAAAGTTTTGTTTCTTAACTTGCGCATGTACAAACATGCAGTGTTCGCTAAGTGGGTTAGAAATATGGCTTAAGGTTTGAAAGTGACTGGCCTATTGTGTTTTAAGCTTCACTTTCAACAACACTTTTCTCGAAAACAGACTTGGAAACTTTGAGCGGTTCTGTCTTTTTAAAGCAGCTTCCAGTCTGATACAAAATCACACATAATTTAGCAGGATAATGACTGTGGACTCTGCCTTAATTATACCTACGTGGCTAACTTTAACGACAGATGCGTCATGACACTGGCATGCCATCACAGTGGGCATACAAATACCACCAAATCTAGCTCATGCTTCACAGTGGGAACACGGAAATGCCTCCAAATATAGCTCATGCTTCAAGCTTCTAAAAGTGCAAAATCTCCCCGAGTCTCTGCAAGCAAGATGACTTGCGCAAAGGAGCTGACAATACTTACACAAAACAAAAGAGTGAAGCAACAGATTCTAGAGAAGTGCTTGAAATATGTGTTAATATGTGTGTGGGAGAAACAAAAAAAACAAAACACTAGTTTTGTGACTTGTGAAACACACACACAGGGCCTGAGACACCGTTTCCTACATGAATTCATACTTTGGCCTCAACTTTCCACTCAGCGGGCAGGAACTGAGGCTTGCGTCAGGGCTTGGCTGATAAACTACTGTCTCCTAGGAAACCTCCTGTTGGTAAGTAAACAATGACTTCATCATGAACAGTAGTAGGATATAAATAAAATTAAAAAAAAAAAATCCCCAAGCCTTTGCAGGCATGGGGAGGGCAGCACTCTGGCTTCCAGAAACTGAACGGCTACTCGATTTCACTCTAAATGACAAAGCTGGAGGAGTCACTTTTTTAAAGTTCATACAGCTTTGATGCTGACACACACCCGTGGTTCTGACGCAAGATTCATCTTGTAGGGATGCGTCTTCCCCTCCTCAGATGACAGCGGCGACCACAGTTTTGTTTCTGACCTGAGGAAGACAGGAAGGCAAAACAAGGCTTGAAAGATGATCTGAGGATTCAGTAACATAAAAATGCCAGGATCGCCTGCGTGTTCCTGTGTATCAGCACGTGAACGCAATATTAGGGCTGTGTCTTTGAATGCAACAGAGCCCTTGCAGACATGCTCATGTTCTTGTTTATCTTGCAGTTAAGCCCGTCCTTTCATGCATTCAATATGACATCGCTTAATGGGAGCAAACATATGTGGTTCCAACAGTCTGTCAAATCCCTTTTGATACGACTCCTCAAAAGTCATCAGTCATGAGTAATTTACAAGACGACACAGCAGAGCGATGCGGGATTGCAACATGGTAAAAAAAACAGTAAAACAAACAGAACTGCTGTTTAAAAATCACTGAATAAACATGATGTCACTCGCTGAACACCTGGATTGCAGCTGAGCCGTCTCACATTACTCACTCTTTTGAGCCTATGGCTACGCAGATCAGAATGGCACATTTAGACACAGCTTACCTGTCTATGGAGAGCACCATTTCCTCTATGCAGCCCTTTATCTTGTTCTGCGCCTCCAAGTGAGTCATGTTCTCTGTTGGTTCTCCATCGATGGCAAGAATTATATCCCCGATGCATAGATTTGCTTGGGCTGCTTTACTCCCGGGGTTGACCTACAACACAGGACATAAAAATTATAAAATTAGAAGCCACTTGTGCACCATAATTACGAATATATGGAAAATGCACCTTCTAATTACAGCCTAAAGGCTTCCAAGTCAAAACAGGAGAGTGCCATTGTTTTAAACCTGACCTTCGAGAACCTTTAAGCAGCTGTCTTTGTTAACAGTAAACAGAAGCGAAGGCACTTGCAGAGTCAGGATAAAAGCTTCCTGGAGCCCAGATTCTCTATCTGAGATAAAAGCCTAAAGCAGGGAGAGGGACCAGTACAGTCCAGGAATTCCTAATCACTTTTCCATGGGTGGGGTGGCCTGACCACAGTAATAACCTTCACAAGAGGGGAAAAATGCAGTGTAGGCTCAGAGGAGTGCTTTGCTAGCTATAATCCGGTTCATTACTGCCACAAGAGCAGCACCCTGTGTGAAGCTTAATAAAATCTTAGCGCTAGTGAACACCAGTGAGGTGTGTCAGCTGTCAGCTCATGACAAAGAGGCTCCGATGGGTCCATGGTCACTCAGTGATGTCAAAGCATGGAGTTTAAACTTTTAAAATTACGCTTTAAATCTTAAGTAAATTCTGTAAGAGACAAAATATGACAACCATTGTTTGGGATTAGTGCATTTCTGGTTCGGCTATTATAAAACTACTGTTTTAAAGTAGCTTTAACTCTCGGTTAAAGACTGAAAAAGATACATAAAATCACAATTCATCAGCAAAAATATATTTTACCTTACATAAAAATGTATGTTTTTAAATATTAAGTGGGGTCCACGGACTACCGCGTTTGCTCCTTGAGGTAGCACTAGCAAAAATTGCCGCTAAATTAACTTTTAATTACAATAAACTGAGAAAGCTAACGCTAGTTTAGCCGTTCGTTAGCCCTCCGGTTAACACAAGCTAACCGTTAATCGTCAACCAGCCTTCAGTAAAGTCGCGGGGAAACAATGAGAGGTGAGAGACCAGGTGCGGTTACACTGAAATGCGGGGGAGAAACTAACAATAAAACGAACTTACCCGGGAAATAGCCAGTGGCTGCTCGAAGTCCTTTCCCCCAACCAGCCTGAACCCCCAGGGGCCGGGACCCTGCAATGCCACACGGAGAGGCATGGTGTGAAAGTTTTGAAACAGAGCCGACGGTGGTTAAGGAGCTGCCTCAGACCTCTGGTTCACTTCCTACTGCAATATGACGTGGAGTAATCAATGGTCAAAAATTTGAGGCCGACTGCAACTCCACCGCATTAGTGAAGGGGGAGGACCCTCGGATTACAGTTGGACGAATAGATTTTGAAGTTTCCTCCCTGATAAGTGAGACCGAAGATCGTGTATGAAGAAGATGGATCACTCGCGTACATATGTGTACTCGCGCATACGCCACTGACGTGCAGAATTGTGGGATTAAGCCACCATACTGGGTGAGTAAGCCCCTTGGACACAGCGACTAAGTAGTGGCCATCATTTTCTTCGTCACGTGTTTATCTTATTAAGAAAATCTGAAGCAATGAAAATACTGTTGTGTGGTTTATGACACTAGTTATCAGGGTCCCTTCCCAGGGCTTCAACTCACACCTTGCCCTAGGTGACCTCAATAGGGTGGGGCAAGCTCTCACAGTTGTTTCACCCTTATTTATTTGTTTGTTTAACCTTTATTTTATTTAACCATGAAGTCGTTTAAGATTAACATCATATTTTCAAGGGAAACCTGGTTTCAACCCCCAGTGAGGGCAATGACCAACGCCTTTCTCCACACAACTCACACGATCACTATGGGTCCTTCAGGACCACCTCCAAAGAGGACACTGCCTTTATGGGTGAAATGCTTGGGAAAGTCCACCTTTTGTTTTTAGAACAGAAGAAATGTCTTGTATGAGGGCCGAAACGTCTTCACAAACTTAAAAAAAGACCAGTTGCCTTCTTTTTCTCAAGCTCTCAAGACCTACATGACCTGGATGACTGAGAATCTACACAGACATGGTTAGACTTGAGCATGACGTGTAAGTGATTTCAGGATTCACAATCTTTGCACTGCTAATGGCTGCATTAGTAATGCTGGTGTGATAAAGAGAATGCATGTTTGAGCCTGTAATTCTGCCTGGAGCAGTTAAAGCTCAATCAAGTCACTTTACATTGTTGTGAATATTAAAATCAAACTTTTCCTGGTACTGGTCTGGTGTTGAATGTGCAAGAATGTCTTTAGTATTGCTGCTAAGGTTAAAAGAAGCATGTGAAGACGGAATCTGCGCTGGACTGGGAGTAAGTTGTTTCGTTTTGGATGTGTTTCTGTAAGGACTGCTAAAGTCAGCATGTCTGCTTGAAGATGAACCACCATATGTGATGGATGAATCATCCATCACATATCCTGACTGGGCTTCAACACTTTGCTTGAGTCACTCTGAAGCACACCCTGCACACTCATAGCGCCCACATTAGTGGAGCATGATGGATCCAAAACACAAGCAGAGGATGAGGATTAGAAGGGTCAATCGTTCATAAATGCAGAAGAAAAATGATGAAGAAAACATTTAGAGGAAAAAAATACTACAAGAAGTCACTAATTTTATTACATCTGTAGTTGTTATTAATTCTTGTTAATTATGTTTTTATCTTGTCACTTTAAGCCTTGATTATACTGAGACACGGGCAGCTGGAAACACCTCCTGCAGACTAGAAAATCCTGTTACCCTTCTTTGAAGTCTCTGCAGACGAGTCCACGTGGTCACAAAAACAGGCAGGCACGTGGATGTCTGCACAGCTTAGCCCTTTTGGAATTTTTACTTGTGTTGGAGTTGTTTATTTTTTTAAGAGTGCCGATGTGAAGCACTGAAGCATGCTATAGCTTGGTCCCAATTCAGTGACTGCATCCTTCCAATGCTATAGAGGAAGAGGAAAGGACGGTACTGAACAGGCCCGGCAGATGTGTATGGACACAACCGTGGTAACGTAAATGAAGCATATAGAGTCTACAGAGGGGCAAACGTGCCAGTGTAAACACGCTTCCCTGCAAAATCCCAACTACACATTGCTTGTCATGGATGCTGCTGCTCTTCAGTCAAATGCTGATTGGTTGACAAATGGGCCAAGTTCACCAGAAATGGGTTTCCATAGCTGAGCAGGTACATCCACCAAATGCAATGCAAAGAGTTGGATGCAGTGGTTGTAAAGCACGCCTCCACTGACCAGTGGAAACATGTTTTCTGGAGTGATGAATCACACTTCTCCATCTGGCAATCCAATGGACAAGTCTGGGTATGGCGCTTTCCAGGAGAACGGTATTTGTCTGACTGCATTGTACATAGTGTAATTTGCCTGCACAGAGTCCTGACCTCAATCCAAAAAAACACCTTTGGGATGAATTAGAGCAGAGACTCTGGCCTTTTCGTTTAACGCTAGTGTCTGAACTCACAAATGTGCATCTGGAAGAATGGTCAGAAATTCCCATAAACGCGTGTAAAACTTGAGGAAAGACTTCCCAGAAGAGCTGAAGCTATTATAATGTGAAGGGTGGGCTGACATCATATTTAAACCCTATGAATTAAGAGTGGGTTGCCATTCAAATTCATACGCATGTGTAGGCAGACGGGTGAATACTTCAAAGATCTTTATCCTATAACTTGCATTTTTTAATGCTCGTTGTGCCTTGAATTACATTTTTTTTGTTGATGTGCATAAGTAAATGTGATTAATCTCTCTGTTTTTTTATTTATTGTTCTTTATCAGCACGTACATCCACCCATAATCTTCGGCTCATCCAAATCGGGAGTCTATCCCAGCGGAAAATGTTAATTGATGACTATCCAAATACAGTTCATGAATAAATCACACCTCTAAATATCAGTACTGTAGTGGCGGCACTCTGTCTCTATTTCACTCTTCTGTACCACCTTTAGGAGTCAGTCCGGCAACATGCATTTGAAACGCGAGCAAGTACAGGTACTTTTCTTGCAAAAAAGATGTTTATTGAAACTTTTAATTTACATGGCAAGACTCGGTCAAAAAACTGTGTTGCTTCCAGCTTATCTGACTCCCCAACTACGTAATTACAGTGTGCCGGAAGCCCAAAATACTAAAAAGCGCATTAGAATGTCGCACTTCTATATTCTATACCTTTAACAAAACAGTATTTTGAAATTAACTAGAAATTATATTCTTAACATCAAACATGTATATTTCTCCTCTAATCATTTTACCAGTACCAATAAAATTAACCTTTAATTGGCTCTTACAAGTACCATACAATTTCCTTATTGAAAGAAAACACTAACTTAAATCACAGTGGTCTAATCTTCCTTTACTAGCAGTAAGCAGAAGAAATTAATTTTTATATTAAGCAGCTCCACTGCAGTAGCTATGGTGACCCATTTGTTATCATCACATCAGAACGATTACTTCTGAAGAGACTCCACAGACAGCAGCTTCTTTCCAACAGAGATTGCTTGATCTCCAGGAACTCCTTTAAATTCAGCTGGCCCTTTTAGGGCCTTTCGTTTAATTTCTCTGGTGCTTTTGCTTCCTCCCCTGTCCAAAGACATGCATGTTAACTGGTGATTCTAACCGGGCTATTGGTGAGGGCTCGATAAGGTGTTTACAGTGTGTGGAATAAAACAAATCAAAGTCTAAAACACTTTGAGTGGTCAGTAATGCTAGAAAAGCATTACATTGTAGGATGACAGCTGTGCTTTTGTGCACACTACAGCAGTTTAACCACTGGAAGGCCACAGCCTCACTGTGTCCATGAAATGCTGCTGCGTTAACCTAGAAGCTGGAAGCTAAAGGTGTTCAGGCAGGAACTTTGTGTTGTTGAACATAACTGAGACCCTTTTTTGGTGGAACTTGTAGTATTTCCTCAGAATAATGAGGAAGATGTGAAGCACTTTGCCAACTCATGCTCTGCGGCTTGACGAACTGATCGGCCTGATTGCTCACTTTAAAAAAAACACCATTTAATTTTCATCCTCGTGGTGAATGACTGCGTAACACTGTGAAGATACTGATACAACTCAGAAGTGCTGTAGTTCCTGTGTTACCGAGAAGATGCACAAAGTAATTCAGAATAACATCATATGAAATTGCAGGACACTGCCGATCCTCCCATTCAGTGAAGGTTGATAATACAGTACTGTAAAGTATTATCATTGCATTTGGTCAGCTACAACACCTAAGGCTTGGATGTACAAATAAGAGGACCACAATTGATGGCAAGTATTAAAACACAAAATAATATCAAAGATTTTGCACTGTGAAAAAAAATAACTGTTAAGTTTGACCAAAAAATTGGAAGAAATTAAACATTCTTTGCTTTTAATTTAATTTTTCATTATTATTAAACTGATATTAAACAACAAAAAAGTGCAACTTTGCGATGTCCACATTATTTTTAATGTAAGGACGTTTCTCTAAAAGCAGAGCAGAGTGGTACCTCTTCGTGTTTTGGACCTCTCACAAGAGCTTCAGTTTGTTTTAGAGACGTCGGCCTGCCCTTGCGTCACCGTGTTATGTGCAAACTTACCATTTATGGTAGAGCTAAATCCCAGGATGTGGAATGTGCCGCTCCCAAAAACTGAATTCCTGCCAGAGGGCCTCTGCTGAAAGTGGAGGAAAAAAATAAAGGGGGGGCAAGGCGGCCAAACTGAATGAAACACGTCCTTTCTTGTGGGTTTTGCTTTGTAATTTAAGGTATGCCAAAAAGTCTGTGAGCCTGTTTTAAAGTGACGCTGTTATCAGTTCAAGTGGATATGGTGCAAGTGCTTCTGGCTGTTCTGTCAGCAGGACTCTGAGCGGCTTTCAGCATTTGTTCACTGTGATTACAGGAGTCTGACATTTATTGCTTCATTTCACCCAACAGCATTCACCCACTTTCCTGAGTCCAGCCACAACACTGCACTACATCAGAAATGATCATCAGATAACACAGCTGACGTTCAGCAGTCCAGAGGTAAACAGCTCCCCCTTCGAACCTGTCTTGTAGGCAAAGTTTGAAGATCTGCTTTTTCAAAACAAACTAACCAAACATAACCCCCACACCCACCGGCCACTTCATTAGTTACACCTTGCTGATACTGGGTTGGCCTTCATCTGGCACAGATTCAACAAGGAGCTGGAAGCATTCTTCAGATTCTGGTCCACGCTCACATGATAACATCACACAGTTTACATCATGCAAATCTCCCGTTCCACTACATTCCCAAGGTGCTCTATTAGATTGAACTCACTGACATGTTCAAGAAACCAGTTTGAAATGATTTAAGCGTTAGGACACCGGGGCATTGTCTTGCTGGAAAGAACCATCAGAAGATGGGTACACTGTAGTTTTTCAGTTTCCTGTTTTTAACTGTCAGCAGTGGGGTCTTCCACTGCTGTAGCACATCTGCTTCAAGGTTTGATATGTGCATTCAGAGATGCTCTTCTGCATCCTTTGGTTGTAACAAAGTGTTATTTGAATCACTGGAGATTTTCCTTTTTTCAGATCATTCTCTGCAAATCCAGAGATGGCTGTGTTGGAAAATCCCAGCTGATCAGCAGTTTCTGAAATACTCAGATGAGCCTGACTGGCATGACCATGCTACATTCACAGTCATTAAATCACCTTTCTTTCTCATTCTCATGCTTGGTTTGAACTTCAGCAAGTTGACACGCCCCCTTCCCGAAATGTACTGAATTGGTGCTATGAGATCAGCTGATCAGAGAGTTATTTTAACTAGACAAAGAGGTGTACCCAGTGAAGTGGCTGGTGCTATATTTAGGACCCCGGTGATCCTGTGTCCAGAAAAGCAATTTAACTTGGCAACTTGAGTGCATGAAATACTGTTAGTAATTTACTTTAAACACTTGAATATACAATGCTGAATTCATTGTTTGTCTTTGCAGGTTTTCATCTATTACATTTTCTAAACCAACACGCTTTCTAATGAGCCAGGATGAAAACTCTCATGCTCACACACCCGGAACAAGTTGGCCAATGCTAAAAACAGACTTTTGTCAAAAAACAAAACGGGCAACACATGCAATGGTTTAAATGGTTTATTAAATATTGCATAATACCGAACACAGCAGTGTATAGTATCTTTATTTTAATATTGTCAATGTAACAGCACTGCAAATTGAAGCAAACAAACCAAACCTGTTGCAGGCTGTGCGTCCGTTTTTCATGAGTGTTAATCATGTCGAAGCGTTATGTCACACTTTTAGGTTCTTGTACAGTAACAGACAAGTTCTTAGTAAATGTTCTCCCGTCACAGAGACTCGAACAAATGGGGAAAATCAGGCTTACACAAAATACGTCATGGATACATTTCAGTGATACTGAAAAAAAAGAAAATGAGGCACAATTTTTCAAACATAAGGCAACATGATCCTCACAAATGGCAGCGTAATGTTTAATCTTTCTGTGCTCAGTAACGCTCCACTCTGTGCTTTGCCAATAAAACAAAACAAAAAAATCCTTCAGGCAAAATAAACCACTGCAAGTGACAGAGAGTTCAATCTGACCCTCCTATTGCTCGCAGTCTATTTTTTATTTTACATATTTACAATCCTTCATTTGCCAAACTGTTCAATAACGTTTCACACGTTTTTTTTGTTTTTTTTACATGTTTACACTGCCTGCAACACATTCATATATTCATACATTCATACATCCCGTGACGTTTTACGGACACACACAAATCACAGAAACAATCTATTGCCAATTGTTTTGTCACTAAACGAGTGATTATTTGCCCATCGTGCAGTGTGTCTGAGAAGGAGCGAACCTCCCTCCGTCGCAACAGGATTCATTTCGAAAGGCGACAGCTCAGCAGACTCCCGACTAATCAACGCTTTCATGAAGAGCTCGAGTTACAGAGGCGGAGGTAAAATAAAAAACAAAACACGCTTTTGTGATAAAATGAAATGCCTGAACATTAAAAACAGTGTGATAAAAAGGCAAACCCACACTGCAGTGTAATATATTCCGTGTGATATCTCGCTGGGAAAACATTCTTTTGCTGATGTTGGCAAAGTAGCGGTTGTGATCTGCACAGGAAGAAAAACCCAATCTCACAGGAAACATGATTGTACTGACCTGGCTTAAATGAAAGTACTTCATCAATTAATAAACTTCAGATATGACCTACGTGGTGGCCACATGCACAACTGTAGCTAATCATGGTGCAAAAAACAAAGACACTGTCGACATACGCTTCTAGATCTAATAAGTCTTATCTGTCTTATGTTTCTATACTTCAGCTTATCTTTCAGATTTTGTGTGTTCATAAACAGCTACACTGTATTTCCTTTAATGAGAGTTTTTGGATAAGAAGGTGATGGCAGCGCTTCTCTGAGTTCCACTGCTCACTACCATCAATCTTCCCAACATAAAGTAAGATTAGATAAAAATACTTCTTTAGCAATTGCGCAACGAACTACCCCCGTCTGCTGCTCCGAGCAGGTCATAACAAGCACTAAGGGTTTTTTTGGACACACTACCCGAAAGCTCTGCACGGCGCAGACACTGATGATGTGAAGGATCTTTCTGTGCGCACACTCGTGTGTTTGTGTGTGTAGGATCTATTCTGACACGTTACCGGATCTGATGGCGCTGGAGATGTGGGCGCTCCGTATTTGCAGGAAGACGGCTCTGATGCTTTGGTAGCGGAGATCAAAGCAATCTTCCATCGGCTATCGGCCATTAAAGGCTAAAAAAAGCGGCGTTCACCGCGTCATTACTTCTGTTTTCTTTAAGTTAAAAGTGCAATTATTAGGGTGTTGGCTGGCCGATAGTGTTTCATGCTCCAGTGTGATTTGTCAGTCTCTCAATGATCTTATAGTGCATGCTGTATTAATGCTGACCTTACAACTGTAGTCATTATGAATGAAAATATGCAGCCGTACGTATACAGTTCTCTGTACGCATTTACATATACAATCATGTCAGTAAGGGCACGGTTAAAATCTCAATACGCTCTAAAAAATCACTGTGATCATATACTAAGACACCTTGTTGGCTTTGACTTAAAACTTGAAAGAGTTTTAGGTCATCAGTGCTATTACACTGTTAGGAGGGATCTTCCTAAACGACCAAACAGGAAGTTAAGTGCTACCACGCCTGTCCTGTGGTTGCTCTGAAGCTAGGCGTCTACCACCGGCTACCTTAAAGGCATCAATAATCAGCAAACACAGTTTTAAAATATACAAAATATAGGATGTGCATATACACAGTTTTTGTTTCACTTTTATGACACATGCAATAAAATCTGCGTGTCCTGTAATATGTGTTTGCAGTGGAAACTGAGAAAAAGAGAAGCCAGCAGCACACATCAACATTTTAGAGTTTCTACTCATGCACACGGCTGTTAATAACTTCTCTGTAGCAACCTTTGGATAGAGAATGAAGACAATACTGTAGTCAATGTAACAAACTTGGGCTAAAATGAGTTGTGAATGCTGCGAGGCAAATAATGACTTTTCTGATGATTCAGAAAATGTGGAGGAAAATAGTTCAATATTTTAAAAAGGGTAATTTTTAAGGCTTTAAGTATTTAAAGTACCGAGGGCACTGACTTTAAGCTGTTTTTTTAAGGGAACTGTCTGGTTAACAGGGTCATAGAGTGATCATATTGCAGGTTTTCTTTAAGTAGCTAAATCGAATCAATTTCATTCACGATACCTGATTTACATCATACTTTGCCAGCTGTGTTAAACACCTCTGGCCCTGAAAGATCAAAACACATTCTGACGCCTCCCCAGGTCCAGTTCAGGTAATAAGATCCACTCCTTTTATCCATACACTGCTCTGCTGCCTGCCTCTAGACCGAGGTGCTACGCAAACTCTTGCATACTGTAAAATTACACACACACAATGAAAGCTATTACGTGTACGTCGAAAAGCTAATTTGCAGGAGGCTTTCACAGAGAAATTCCACGTATGGAGACCGATGACTTCTGTGGAGACGTGCGTAAAATGTGATGGAGGTGTTTGGGCAGTGAGCTGACCCCGTCTTCGCCTCGTGCACTTTGACATACCTCGAGCCGATCTGATCACTTTCCCAGATAAAAATATTCGCCCGGCTAAATGACTATTCTAACCAACAGCCATGCGCGGTAGTTATGACTTCCCAAGCTTGACAGGCAACCGTGTGTTACAGCCAGATTAGATAGCTTTACAGTTTCACCTCCTTCACGTAATTCCCCGGGAAAGTCCCAAACTGTTTTGTCCGCTTTGATGTACCTGTGGAGGAAAAGAAAGACGAACATTGATCAGATTCTTTCTCAGATTTAATGCTTACATGACCTCAGTGTTAGTACCAAAATAACCCCTTTGAGCTTTATTTAAAATTCTGTACAGGACCTGAGCATGCACACTGCACTCAATCCTCTGCTGTCATTCTTTAGAAACTCTATATATGAAGGAGATGACACGCTGAAAGAACCCTGAGCATGCACATTGCACGCGTGCAGTCCTTTTTTGGCATTTTGCAGAAACCCTATATAGATTAATGTGACACACCGAGTGTGACCGCATCTCTGAGGAATCTAGGCCTGTGACACATACCAACGAACCAGCCGTCATCGCACTTCTCCATGACGCTGACGAGATCTCCCTCCTGCAGCTCCAGCTCGTCGTCGTTTTGCGGCACGTAGCTGTACAAAGCCTGAAATCTGGAGCGGCATGAAGCAGGGAAGACACAAAGTGTGAAATCAGCAAAGGTCTGTCTTTACCTAGAATATTAATAAGAGTCTGAAACGTGAAACAGATCTTACTCACATTCCACAGTTCAGACGGCTCGGCTCCGGGCTGCTGCTGTGTGACTGGGGTTGCTGGGAAATGATGAGAGATTGTTTACTGGGGTGGGGGTGCAGTCTATGAAGAGAGTCATTATGGTGGTGGGACAGGGTGCTGCAGTACCTCACCGAGGTCTCAGCTATATTCAAGATCTCATTACACACTGCCTCCTAGTAGTAGTAGTAGTAGGTGAAGTCGTCAGAAAAGAGAGAGAGACCCGGCCCACCGAGAGTCCCGGAGGAGGCCGAGGTGAAGGTGAGGAGGGGAGGTGAAGAGTTAGAGAAGGGGAGGTAAAGTGCAAGACAGGAAGGTAGGTCCGGTGAGTAGCAAGACAGAAAAGGATGTGATCCGTTAAAAGCCAGGAGAAAAGGTAGAGGGGGTGTTGGCCCAACCCGGGAGAAGAGGCATGAAATGGAAGGTCACCAGTAGAAGCATGTAGACAGGAAACATGAAATATTAGTTCAGTTGTACAGGATATAAGGCAGTAAGTGCATGCAGTATTAAAGGTGGGCTGACAGATACAGCTTGAAGGAACAAAATAACCTCTTTGCTGCTAAAAGCTCTGTGAGCAGACTGATGTACATTCAATATACAGCTCAAGTCGGTAGCCTGTTAGCTTAGCTTGACAACTTAAAGGCTCAGGCTTATAAAGCCAAACAGAGTCATTTAAGAGTAGCTTCACATAATTTTCTTTAAAAAAACCCAATCTATGTTTTGATCGGCCATGCTGCATTTTAAATTTTGACATAAAGACTACATATTAGAACAATAACTGTGCTTTAGAGATGCTGGTGGAGAATGTTATCAGCTCTGGATACATTTTATTTCCCCATTTTTTTGGTAGTTATGCTAAGCTACCTATAGCGCCTTCATCAGCTGCAAAATGATTGATATTTAACTATAACTTCAGCAGGAGAGTAAGTTGAACTTCTGTTATATCATACGTCTAATATGTATGGGAGTTCAAGGTGCTGTGAGTCAAATGGATCTGTTAAGGTGGTATGTTTAGGATGGCACAAGATGAAGTCAGGTAGCAAACTACACATGCTTTTTGTAAACCTTTAACAGAGGTTCAGGAACACTTTCTATCACCTTACCGCAAACGAGTTAACATTGTTGTTATCTTGGATATCAAACAGCATCACAGGGCTTCTGGTGCTTCGTCCATGATGGTCAGCCTCATTTTTTACAAACTGTAACACAAAAAAAGGAATTCAAAATGAAAGCCTTGCACTGCATATCAACGTGCTGCGAATATGATCAAACTCCAGCGTGAGTCAAGTTTCCTGCAGGTGGATATTTCAGCTTCACGGCAGCTTGTCACTGTCCAAAAAAAACCAAAAACGTCCAACCAACAGAAGCATCTAACTTGTCAAGCTTGTGCACGGAACAACAACATGCATCTGTACGCTGAAATTTACAGTATAAAAATCAGAACTTATTATTATTGCAGATCAACCCTGGAAATGCAAACACACTTGTCTTACAGCTCTCTGCAGCTAGGAAATCTAAGACTTAATACATAAGCACTCAAACACAGTAAACCATTTGCATATTAGTGGCTCACACACAACACCATGCAGACTTGCATATGTAAGCAAAGTGACCAGTTCAGTTACTGTCTTTAAAACTGAAACCAGCTATAGGCTAAAATCACCTTCAGGTCAGATCTACCAGTTAGTTCTCCACAAAAATGTCTGCGTCAGTACTCGAGAAAATCTACTTTAATGTCTCAAACTGTGGCATAAGCCTGTGTTCCAGAGTGAACTTCAGATGCAACACCACACACCATGCAGAAGATACCTCTGCAGGGCTATTTTGCCTGCTGCCTGGGCCTGCGCGACCCCTGTCCCCCTCTGCGCCTTCCCCCTCTGTCAATTCCTTCTCCCCCCTCAGCCAGCACTCCAGCACCGGCCCACTGCTGGGGCTCACACTGCGTGACACATGTGGGGAGGAAGGAGAGAGCAGGAAGTCCACCCCTTGAGGTGGGGTAAATGTGAGGGAGGGGGTGGTCGAGTTGGGTCTGGGTGGGTAAGGCGGGGGTAGAGGGGAGGCGGATGGGGAGGCCATGGGGGAGACACAGTATGGGCTGCCAGTGATGGGAGGCACGGGGCTGGCAGAGAAAGGTGGGGGCAGGTATTCGCCCCAACGGTATGACACAGTGGGCAGCGGTGGCAGCGGAGGAGTGGGAGCCGCAGGGGGACTCCCACCTCCCACAGTCAGGGAGATCCACTCAGAGGAGACAGCATGGACCTCAGGGGACACAGAGCGGCGGGGGGAGCAAGGGAGAGGCAGAGGGGAGGTGGTCAGACGATTACGGTACAGCTTTTTAGGGCATGATGGAGACAGAGAGAGGAAGAGGGGTAAGAGAAAGAAAAAGCAAATGAAAGATGTGACAAAATCTCTACACAACACAAATAAAAAGGTGGGCGTCGAGGTGTGTGTAGAAGGGAAATCATTTTTGGATATTAAAAGCACACAGAAGTGGTGGTAAGAGAAATTGCTCAGTGATCAGTGTGTTTGAGTCCCTACCTGTGGTGAAGCATTGGTGCTGCGCTGAGGTGAATGGCTGACAGGTGGATCCGGGTACTCCACCCCGTTTTTGACCCGTGGTCGTTTGTGAACTTCTACATAGGTGACGGGGAAAATGCCTTGACGATTGGTGCCTGAAATTTTGCCCTCATACCAGTTCTCGTCAACTCTGCGAATCAGTGTAATCCTCTCTCCCTGAACACACACAGGCAGATCCACTAATCAGATTTTTAAAAAATCCTTGTTTGGATTAAAAGAAAAAGGGAATAAAAACCCGCTAGTTAATAGTTTATAATAACTCTTATTAAGTCACACCTTTCTGAAGGACATTTCCACAACTGTGTCCCCAGTGAAGTTAAAGCGGGCGACAGCTTCTCCATATTCCAGCACCTGCACTGGGGCACATTTCTTTGGCTGTGCTTTCTCCGTCGGGGGGAGGAGCTGTGCAAGCAGACAAAACACCCAAATGTGACCAACCAAGAATATAAAATAGGGCATAAATTGTGAAAAGAATCGATTCTGAAATGCTTTTAAAAAGATATGAACTATGAGTCACAAATAACACACATTAACAGGCAATATACCTCAACATAGCTTCGAGGGAAAATACCAACTCTTCCATGATGTTCACCTTCATACCAGTTCTGATCAACTTGTCGAATGATGTACACAATGTCTCCCTTCTGAAATGGCAGCTCCCTGAAAATACAAAACCAACACACATTTGGAGATTAACCTCTCATAGTGTAACAAGACTGAGACGCTTTGAGGATCACATGGGTGGAATATACGGCATCACTTCACGGTCAAATGGTAGTTTTTTGGCACTACTTTATTAAAAGTTGAAAAAATTACCTAATTAAGGTCCACTAGGCAAATATTTAACTCAGTGGTGGTGTTATCCTTGCTGCTGCATTGAGCTTCAATGCATTTATGGCATTTTCTATAAAAAATATATACATATAAATTCTCATAATTTCCACTTACTTTAGAGTTTCTGCTCTGAAGTCAAAGCGAGCCATGGCGGGCGTTTTCTGTGTAGATATATAAAAACAAAAATAAACGTCTGTGACTGTTACTATTTGGCAGCTACACCAGTGTTATTCTCTGAATCGCACTGAGTGAGTGAAAGTTTCCCTGAAGGCTAAATACCTTAAACGCCTCCATCTTTGTTCTTTTTGGCTACTACGCTCTCTGGGCTTTGGCATTTATGTGCGCTAAGAAAAGCTTTTCCTGGAATTTGTTGTTAGCTGTAAATCTGCACTGGCCTCTCTGAACATAAATATTCTAGCAATGAGAAGAATGATATGTTTGTGACTGAAAGGATGACTTGACATCGGGGGCATGCTCAGTTAGAAGCTATTGTGTGTAATGTGCAAAACAGCATGCATGCCCTGCCACTCTGGACGTATAGCTGGTAAACAGAGTCCACTCTGCAACTTGAATCAAAATGTATATGGGAAATATTCCAGTGATAAACAGGTCAAATGTTGCCTTCTATCATGAATTTTTCACCAGGAGTGGAAAAGCCATCTGTGCCTGCAGAGACCTCCCCCCACAGCCTGACTCACAAAGTGACAAAGCATCTGCCGTCTTTCTTCCTGCTTACACAAGGATAAGACACTGCTGTGTATTGTACCTCTATGCCCGATTTCCTTTTCTCTGTGTTATCTGTGATGTTAAGCAGGTCACCAAAGCGCTCGTTGGTGATGAACTGGTGGTGTGTGGGGACAATGCTCGTGTGCCGCCTCGATGCTGTGTCAGCCTCTTCCTGTTCCCGCTTCAGCCGCCGCTGCTCCTCCAAGATTTTCTGCCAGGAAACCAGACTGAACTGTTTGCACCCTCCAGATATGGGTCTCTACTCTTTTATTCACAGATCCTTTGTTAGGCATAACACTCATGTTTCACTTATTCAGAACACAATAATCTTTATCAAAGTATTTGTGTTCAGAGGGTTAATTCATGAATTTTGCACTGAGAGGCATCAGTTATGAAAGTTTGGATTAAAGTTGAAGAAAATTCACCTCTTTGTCCCCATGACGCCTCCTCAACACTTCATCCTGGCTTTCTCCGTGAGCTGGGGAGGAGTCTGAAACAGAAACCGTGAGGCGATTATCCCGTGAAGCGTTCTCACTGACCACCTCAAGGCCAGCTTTCAAACAAAAGAAGATGGTATTGCAGAAAACTCTCAATTTAAGTGAAAAAAAAATCTCAAAACTATACAAAAAATGTAACCATGCATGATTTAAATAAACATCTTTTATTTTTGCACCACTAAAACAAACAGCACACGCACATTACAAAAAAAGAAAATCCTGCATGCACGTAGGAATGAACACAGAATGATCCAATGTGTGTTCATGACAAAAAAAAAAAAGAAATGCAGGAAAGAAACAATGTAACCTACTGTGTCATGGTCAAAATAAATAAATGTGACATCATGACTTTACTGATGTTGATCGGCCAACCAGCATCCACTATTTTACTAAAGAATCCTTTCAGTATTGCTAACACCGCCGTACCACCATAGATGTTTCATTTTGTGTCCGAGTGAGGGCCACAAGAAACAGCTGTTAATGCTTCGGGGTTTCTATCAGATGCTCAGAGTAGCATCTGTTATATGAGATAAGTTAAAGCAGGAAACATCCTGACAGGCTAAGGAATGAAACATGGTAGATGTGGACAGTCCCAAAAAGCAGAGAGGGTACAAAAATGGACACAATAAGACATCAGTTTGAGAAAGCCCTTGCTCTGTTAAATGCCTAAATATCAGAGTCAATTCCTAGAAATGTCGCTTTTACATAGGATGAGCATTTCAATGCAAGGTAATGCATTCAAAGTTTAACATTACATCGCATAATATAATAAAATACTGCTTGTTTTCGATGTAATGCCTATGCAAACCTACGCAGCATGCAAACAACTCAAATCTGATGTCCAGGGATTATATACGTTACCAAAAGCTTCCTGAACCTCCCCTACAGTCACTGCAGTGTTTTGATGCATTTGTGGGACCATACTCATTGACAGTGAAATGGAAGGGCACCGAACAGCACACTCAGAATGAAATGGAGAGTTCCCTGTCACTTTGTAAACACACCACACAGACTGGAGATGGAAGGTGGTGGCATTGCTTTGTGGAGAAAAGGGACACAAGGTGAAGATAGAGTCAAGATAAATGAAAGACCACACAGGGAGGGAGGGTGACAAGTGGTGAAGGGATGGAGATAGCCACCTCTGCGGTGAGCTGCCAGCGGCTGCAGTAGGTTCCCGTTGGCGTCCAAGCCCTGCCCGTTACTCAGGTAGCCAGTGTCGTTTTCCTCTCCGTTACTCAGCCTCTCCAGAACCTCCAGGGAGGACAGACGCTGGGGGATGGAAGGTCTGAGCTCAGGCGAGAGACTGATAGGCCTCTGGGTGCCCGCTGGCACCCTGGTGGCTAACAACATCCTCCGAGTCTGATGGGACTGTGGGTTCTTCCGTAACCTGAAGGGAGCGGGGCCCATGAGGAAGAGGTTTCCAGGTAGTGTGGTCTTCTTCTCTGTGGGTGGCTGCTTCTCCTGCTGGTTCGTGGCCTGCTGCCTCTCATGCCTGAGGATAGTGGTAAAGCGGGTGTAGGAAGCTGGGCAAGAGCCTTTGCATTTGCTGGGTTTGAGGAGGAGTTGATTGTTCAAGTGGTGCAGGAGGTGGTGGTGGTGGTGGTGGAGATGGTTGTGTTGCGGAGGAGATGCTGTAAGCATCACTGAGGGGCTCTTTGATTCACTGATGTTTTGGTGATTTAGTTCTGGGGAAATTTCTCTCAGGATTTGTTCAACTTCTGCTTCTGTGTTACAGGGGGATTCAGTTCTGCTGTCATGTCTGTCCTCAGTGGACGAAGCAGCCTCCTCCACCATCACACTTTCTGGTGACATGTCCTCCTCCCCAGAGCTCTTGCCCTCCTGCTCGTCCAGGTTGCAGACATCAGCCTGCGTGTTGTTGGCCACTAAAAGGGACTCCGCTGACACTGCAGAGGCCATGTAGAGGTGGGCAGGGCTGTGGCTGGGGCTGTGGCTGGGGCTGGAGTGCAGGATGGGCAAGGAGGAGGAGCGGCTGGGAGCCGAGGTGGAGCGCTGGATAATCATTTCAAACTCGTTGACCCGTGAGGATACAGTATCCCGTGGAATGCTACCCCCATCATCTGCCTCTGACCTCTCATCCCCGTTGTCCTTTGGTTTTTCAAAAAGCGAGGTCAGGCTACGGACACTGCCGTGTGGGCTGCAGCCGGTCGAACTGGGCCGCTTGATGTGATGCATGGTCCTGTACAGGCTGGAAAAATCTGATGCGCTTCTCCTAATTGCAGGGGAAACATTTCTGAGACCATCGCCACACTCACTCCCACAGCTGGACCTAGAATCTGAATGTTGGGTCTCCGTTTCAGCACAGTCTGTGTCACATTGCCCCGTGTAGATATCCTCACAGCTGTGGGCCTTTGGGTGCCTGGCATCTTCAGTCCTGCTTTCCTTACTGTTGCCACAGGGTGGCAGCAGTTTGGGCTTAAACTTAGAGGGCAGGATTTGGGGTATGCAGGCTTTGGCAGCAGATAGAGGCTTCTTACTCTTACATTGGTTACCTATTGCATTACTGGCAAGACTCGATCGACTATTTACAGAGGAGCAGGGTGAAATTATATAGCCATTCCCACCTTTATAATCCACTGGCAAGCATGCAGGACAACAGAATAAACAACATATTAGATTACAATGGTCACAGGTTTACACACATACACACTAAAACAGTCAGGCACAGTTCTAAAATAAAGACCAAGTTCCATCAGAAGTTGATGAGAAGAGGAATCAGACTTGATGCACTGTGCATCAAGTAATATATGACTGTTAAAAAGCTAAAAGCTAAAATACACGGTGCTGCAGCAGGGGATAAAGTTTTACAAAGATAGAACTAGCAGATTCCCCGTTTATCAGTATCTCTGCGAACAGCAACATAATGAGTGAAACAGGAAGCATCAAAAGGGTAATATAACATGAAATGTTATGTGATGTCGGAGGTTATAAAGGACTCACTCAACAGGGACTACAGTAACTGACATTTTAAAAACAAACAAAGAAGAATGCAAAACCTTTCTGTTATCTATTTGTATTCCAGTAAGCAGTAAAATTATCCTCCATTGCGTTATCCTCCTACACAAGTCTCCTCTCCTTTTAGCAATTACACAGACGTCTACAGTGATAAATGGCTGCTGGCACCAGCGCTAATACACCGCTCCTCCTACACGGCTGCACCCCCCCAAACAAAAAACAAAAAAACCCCCAAAACTATTCTGAGTCGACCTGCACAGTGAAAAATGAAAACCTATGAGAAATACTCATGTCAGTTCCTGGCTATACTAAGCTTGTGACAGCACTACAGATGGCACTGGGAAATGACACAACGCTTTCGCATGCTGCGAGCCACTTCTGTAGCATGAGTGACCAATCTGTCGTGTTGGTATCTGCCAGGAAAAACACACGCACTGAGGAAGTTAACTTGATATACTATCCAAGTCATATGGCAAGTAAAGAGTTACCATTCAGCCCACAAAAAAAAGCCCAGAAGGAGGCTCTGTTCTTTGAAACACAAAGATATTTTTTAATTTTTATTTTAAGAGCGCAAGGCAGAAACACATGATGATGAAGTGTTCCTTGCACTTGGTTATGTCTTCGGGCTTGTCTACACTCTACCTTCTGTGTCTTAAATAGAAAGAGACTTTAATGATCAAGGTGGCGCCTCAGGCGGGAGGGTGAAACAGGAGTGTGGTAGTCAGTTGACTGGAGAGCCAAATTTATTTACCACAGTTCAAATGGTTAAAAGTCAACACAAATTGGTCCAAAACAGCAGATGTAAATGGCTCTTCTTTTATAAGATTCCTGTAACAGTCATATTTTATGGAAAATACACCAAACTTTAAGTATTGGTGGGCAGTTTATAATCTGCTATGATCCCTAATGTAATGTATTACATGTACTGAGTCAAACTGCCCCTTACACTCTTTTTCTTACATCTCTTCTTCTCTCCACCCGAGTGTTTCTCTCTCTAGCCATGTGCGCAGGCATTCCAGCCTCTGACCCCACACTGACAGCTGACTTCCTCATGCCCGCCCACCCTCTGTGTCCTTTCTGTTTATCTCAACTCTGTCTGGCTGGGTTGTGAAGAGCAGAGCTCGTTTTATCTCACGCGTATCTCCTCGTCCATCCCCTCACTGGCCCTTAGCTCCCTGGCGCTGGAACACTCTGGAGTCTTGCCCTAAGCCTGCCTAGCGACTGGCAGCTCACAACTGGAGCAAGGGTGGGTGGGTGGGCGGGGGAGCCCCAAGGTTAGCTTCCATCGACTTAACAAGACAACCTCACTCCCTCCGTGAGTTTTCCAAAGCAGATACACTACACGCTTGATGAAAACATCCATGGCATTAAAAGCTTCTGGGGGAAATGAATGCTGTGAGGTGATTGGCCAATGCTGTGTGGTCTGGGAGCAAAGAAAAATGTGTGAATTCCGACATAAAAGTAAACAGAAACACATGTATCCCTGTCTGATGATTTGAATGGTCCAGCATCACCGCCTCTAACTGATTGGTTCTGTCTCGGCAGGAGAGGCCTTTAAAGGCCGGCTGAACTGTCTACCATGTCCACATACATAAACATACACACACCTGCTTTTTTTTACTGGCCACATATGTGAAGTAGCTGCTGTCCTACCTTTAGAGGAGGAGGAGCTGCCAGGGCGCTTGTTTAGAGCCCGTAGACCTTGCAAGGGAATATCGCCGCCCTCTAGGACACTCTTGTAAACATGACGGTCACATTCTGGAGCCACAGGCTCATCAGTAGATGATCCTCTGTCCTTCTCCACCTCGCTGTGTCCAGACTTGCTTGAGGAGCTAGACAGCAAATCACAGGAACGCAGACAGCTAATTAAACACAGTCAATTTCGTTCAGCAAGAGCTGTTGTTGAATGTTTTTATGATAGCCAAAGGCACACAAATTGGGTAATGGGCTGCCATATGGTTCTTATTTAGCATATCTTGAGGTAATTCCTGTCTTCGCAGACTTGTGGGAGACGAAATAACCAGAAACAGAAAAAAGCTAAACGAGAGAGGGAGAGAGAAAGGCTGAATTTGGAGGCTGATGTTGAGAGAAGACACTGGCTACAACAGATATCTTGGAATTCTAGAGAGGCCAGCAGCAGAGATTTCTATAAATATTCTCCGAACATTCCCACATGGTACATCAGCCCCTGCCATGCACCTGTAAGACTCTCAGGTTAACTCTCTTTCCCATGCTGTCATGTGTTACTCATGTTGCTTCTCTCTCTGTACAAACAATCCTCCCGTTTAAAGAGACGGAGTCGCCAATAACATCTTGGTAATATAAAAAACCCATTCAAACCATAGTGTTTAACATCTGCAGTGCTGCCAAGCCAAAGTTTTACATACTTGCGAATACCTCAACAAGAAGCTCTTTCATAGCTGTCAGAGAAAAAAAATATGTGCGCTGCTAGCTATACAGAGCCATTAAAATCACGTTGGCTCTACTTTACTTGCAAGAATTCACATAAACAGTCTCCAGGAAATGTACAGTACAGGAGCCATGCCAGATTTAGGAGAAGAAGAATCTCCAGGGAAGGTTCAAGGAAAATCAGACACCACTGTGACGCTTTAAAAGCAACAACACTTCCTGCAGGTTAAAAACAGTAACCCATTTATCTGGAATGATGAAGATTTCCATGAAATGCAAGTCACTGTGTATGTACTGCTCCATCATGACAAATTTCTGTTTTGTGCGTTCATTAGATCAGTTTTTAATGAATCTATTTCTGAGAGAATAAGATGCACTCCCATGTGCTGTGCTGCCTCAAAACATACACAAATTTGCTTAGCGTGAGCCTAATGATGCTATTTGGGCAACACACAGCTCTTGAAAAGTCTTCAACTTCAGACAGAGTCAAAAAAGTAAAAAAAAAAAAAAAAAAAGAGGACTGCCATAAACATATGTGCGTTTGAAGGAAGTCAGTTTATGAGCTGAGGTTTCCCTTGAAAACCTTTGGGTGAGTGAAATTCCACTCGGCTTTCATCAAACACTTCTTCCTTTCAAATTAACAGCAAATCAGTGGATTAAAAAGCTGGGGTACGAATGTCTTTTGCAAATGCTTGGCCATGATGACATAATGATTGTAGCAGATGGAAACTTCTGGACTGTAAGCGCATGACAGTGACTATTACTCATACCTAAATTCCTAACATTTTATTACACAAACAGAAAAGACAGCATGCCAGTCTCACCAGACAAAATTAAAATGATCAAAAGCTTTGTCCTAATGTGAGCTAACGTCAACTCTCATAATCCAGTTGCTCATCCTAGTTCTGTACACACATTGGAAGGGACATAACGGTTTTCTGAGTTATGCAGCAGCTGGGCAAGTTCCCTCTATCCCAGTGACATCCAGGTTGCTGTCTTTAAATAAATCACCACATAGCAGCCATGTCTCGACACCACAACCACCCACCCCCGTAAAGAAGAAATACGGACAGAGGACACACTGTTCTGGTGGCTTTTTGCCTTATTAACAGGATCTCCTCAGGAAGCAGGAGTCTCCCGGTTGTAGGCGGGCGACCTCACCAGGGTGGAGAAATCTCTCATTGATATTTATACCCATAAGATGACTTAAATAATAATCTACACACTGGAAGGAGGACGCACAAACATTAAAATAAGGAGGAGAGGCATCGACTTACTACTGCTGCAGGTCGGAGGCTGTTTCCAAGGGGCTGAAAGAGGGGGCACTCTGCAACAAACCAAACAAAGAAGTCATTGATAGATCCACAGGAAGGTCTCCTCCAGCTAGAATAGAGGCAGCAGCATTAGCTGTGGCCAGATTCTCTCTTCTCCTCCTCTCTGTCGTTCACTCGCTGCTCTGCCGTTTCTGTCTCGAGCACCCGGGTTTCAGAGCTTCTCTGGTCTGGCTTGGCATGGAGGAGCAAGCGTGTGTTTTGGCCTGCATGCAAGTTGGAGAAACAAGCGGCAGTAAAGAGAGTGGAAGGGAGGGGGGCGGTGGGTGGGCGTGCATCGGTCAGGGGGCGCCCATGCGGGGAGGGGGCTGTCACAGGCTCAGCCAATGGGCTGCTGTCTCCCGGTGAAGCCATCTCTTTTGTCTGATATTGGGTCGCTCTCATTATCACTGGACCAGACCGAGGGACAATTAACCAGCTGGTGGTGCAAGAAGGCCAAATTACACACACACACACATACACGCTCAATATTCAAGCTCACACACTTGTCAAAGAAAAAAAAAATACAAATGCACTGAAACGACATATTACAAAAGAAACAGGTAATTATGTTATAAAGACAGAGGGCAAAAACAAAAGAAACACCACGTGAAGCACAAAGCGAGTGAAATGTTTAAATAAATGTAAGAGTAGCTGTTTTTAGTAGCTGCTGTTATCTCCAAAACATATGGGTGTGGGTGTATTGGGGGGGATCATTCATGCAGCATGGTCGCACCAACATTTTGAATAGTTTACAGCAGACTAATTTTAGCACACTGTTTCTGTTGCTTTCCTCTTTTCGGACGTCACAGCAGGCAAAAATAACAGACGTGACACGGGCACTATGAATAAGAGCACAAGTGTTGTTTGCAAATACGATTGCACAATCCCTACCCCAGCCAGCCCGGCCTTGCTGTTAATGCCACATCCACTTCCCCGTGGCACGACCTAGCGTCCGCTTCCCACACCAACGACCAGACAAGGAACATTCTGAACAGCTCATTTGCCACAACATGCCTTTACACTTAGTTGCCAGGGCAGAAGGATCATTAATAACCTTTCAGAATAAGTGCCTGTCTTTATAAGAACGGCATATCGGGCTGGCAGGTCTATAGTCTGATCTATTTATAAAGCTAAATGTTCCATGTAGACTTGGGGAACACACAAGTGTCACTGAATTATCAGTGGCTCTTCCTTGCTCCACCACGTCTTGTATCCCCCCCTTGTATCTGATAGGGAGAAGATGGTGTCCTCTGACACCCCAGGGTAATTGGGCTTACACACACACACGCACACACACAGCATCAGTGGAAAGTAAACAGGAAACAAGCACGGGGGGCTTATCTGGAGTAAATGAATGGAATCTTAATCTGGTTATTTACAAGATGCCTGATTAGTGTCAGTTTATGTAAACTTTTCTTTATGTAAAAGGTGGAAACTGGTCATTTTCAAACTAATCCGACACTGAAATCACTTAACATCAATTATTTTGTGACAGCTGACTAATGCTTTTATCCAGCTTGTGAAATAAAAGTGGAAAAAAGAAGATTGTTTGACAGGAAGAGACATGCATAAGGGATGAAACTACATGTTGTGACAAGGGTCCAATGCTGTATATGGACATGGATAAAAGCCTCTGTGAGTCAGTGGAACACCAATGACAGTATTTCTGCAGAATTTCATGTGCATGTTTCCTAACAGGTGTCCCCGTTCACTCAGAGCTCAGACTCCTGTAGGCAGCGTTCATTTTCAAAATAGCGATCGTGAGTGGGTCATGGTAACACGAATCCCATTCTTTCCAGCCCCTTGTTTTCTGTTGATATGCTCTCATGAAAACAAACAGCTTCCCCATTGTGAATGGCCTGTTATAGCCCCCCACGCCCCTCTTCTCTCCTCCTCTAAATGCTTAAAGGTAAAGGTTAAGTGTATAACATAGGTTAAATATGAAAGCACAATGAGCTGGCTGGCTTACGGAGTTGCCTCCTTTAGAATATGTCAGGTGATAGGGGGAGGCTCTATGTAACTCGGCGCTGAGACAGTGTGGCAGCAGCCCTCACGCCAGCATATGCTTGACAGATGGAGTCACCATGTCAGTTACAGGGGGCCAAAATGCTCTTCCTGACCAGAGATACGTGTGGAATTCCAGTTCCCGCGAGACATGTATATTGATGAGCCAGTGTTTGACCACGACTGCCACTGGATGCATTTTCCGGCTCTTGTTGAACCTTGAATTTGTGACTATTAATCAAGAGGGCCATCACTGCAATCATACACAGGTCACTCTTACTTAGTGACTAGAAGTGGCCACTAGTGGACAAGTAACGATTTGAAACTAGAATTTACACTAAGCCTTGTTGTATAAAAGGGGACTTCAAATTGTTTTAAACCAAGGAATCAAAAACCTTTTATTATATTTAGGAACATTTTTCCTAATAATAATATGAAATGACTTAATCAGTAGAAGTTCTTCTTGTCAGCACTCTAGGAGTAGTAAAAAGAGAGAGACCTAACTTAAGACAATTGAGATTTTTAGAGTCTCTAATCCAGTAATACCAAGTGACTGCTGATATGTCAATCAAACTCCAATGAGCCAGTGTGTCTGGCTGGCCCTTTAAGGTCAAATGCTGTGCATACCAGGTGCAGCTTTAGAAGTGACTTTGACATTAAACAGGAGCCAGTCATCAAGCCGAGCTCATCTGGCAAACATCCAGGCTGCCATGAGATAGAGACGGCCGCCTCCACCGCTAAACCTCCTCCACATATACACAAACCCGGAACAGGAGAGCCTGCCTCAACGTCTGGCTGATGCTAGGACATGATCTCATGCCGTATCCAGTGGTGCCACCTCATATGATCCAGGGTGTGTCTCGGACTGACAGAGAGCGAGGAGAATCAACATCTGTTTGTGGGAAGCCAGCGCCACACTTGTCTGGTGCCAACTAATGCCCGAGGCATGGATTTGTCATGACACTGTATACTGCTTCATCACTGCCTGCACGCCTTTGGATATTTTGGTAAAGATAGCAGACAAACAGCAATTATTATCTGAAGTGGCTGGGATTATCTTGGAACCTGATGCTCGTTTGGACTGCAGCCTCTCCAAGTGAAGAGTGACTTCTGTGTGAATCAGCCAATACAGGCCTCTGGCTTATGACATGTATGCTAGTTGGCAGGATGCACATCAAAGGGTTTCTCTTGGGTTCTGAGATTAAGACATTGAAGAACAGGGTGCTTCCACAAAACATCAAAAGATCCCAATCAATAATCAGAACTTTTAAACACTATTAATCGAAATTGCACATGGATAAAGGCCACTGTTTTCCACTGTCTGAATGGAATATGCTCACTCTGCCTCACAGGTGCAAATAAAAGGCTGAGATGCTCGTTTTTTGTTAAAAGAGGAACAAAAATAGATTGTTTCTATTTTAAATGCACCTGAGGAAAAAATCCTGTGTATGATATGATAATCAAGGATGACAGTAGCTATATAAAGTCCTTTGGAAAGTTTGATCCTGATTGGTAATTATACATGTTGATTATTTTTAGAAATTTAAAAGGGAATATAAAAAGTCTAAGAGGAGTGAACAGAGACGGACTAAAGCTTATCAGTCATCGGTATTATTAATCCACATTGATGTGACACATGACAGTAATTTTAGTATAAGAGGAAAGAAAAAGTCCTCTCTCACGTTACCATATAACTGTTTTAATATAGGACAATCAGGGGAAAAAATAAAAGAGGGATGAGAAACTGACGTAGTCCTTACAGACACACGGTTTGTTTAGACAATATTTGAACATGGATGTTATCACATGCAATAAAAATATAATACAACATGCTGTCAAGTCTGAAGACAGCAGTCACTTACCGCTTTGTCAAACTCCATCTCTGAAAAGAATTTATACCAAGGCTCATTCTCTAAATCTACATCTTCTGGACTTACATCCTGAGTCTAGGGGCATGGTAACAAGAGGAGGAGAAAGACAAAGAGAAGACAGTTCAGACAGCACAGAATATACACACCGAGGAAATGAGCCCATAACATTGACTTGACTGAGCCAGTTTCTAACCAACAGGACAATTTTCAGGCAACGCTGTAGGTGCTCTCAAATAAATTAAAGATATGATTTGTATTGTTTTGAAGTTGATATTTGAATAGTTCAGGAAAGATCTTAGAAGGCTACTAATTTACTTTCTTGGTAAGCAGAAAATGAGAAGATTGTTATAAAGTAATAGCTAGCAGACAGGTCACTTAGCTTAGCAGAAAGGCAGGAAACAGACAGTAAGAGACCCCAGGAAACTGCTGGTTAAAAAGTAAAGAAGTCATTTCTGACACTTTAAATTAAGTGATCACAATTAAGTTATTTAGTTTCATAAGTGTTAGCAGGGTTGCTGTTTCTCTCATTTTCATCCTTTGTGCTATGCTAACCTGCTAGCTTTAGCTAGATATTTTGACAAATGGAGTGGTATAGATCTTGTCATTTAAAGGCTTGGCAAAAAACAATTCAACAGGTTGCCCAAAATGTCAAATTATGCCTTCAACAATACAATACTCACATACACAAACTGTATGTACAACTACAAGCAGCTGGCGATGTTTTCCCTGTCTGCACTGTAAGGCTATGCTCCAGTTTAGAGAGAAAACACTGAGAAATACAAAGAGGATATTTTACAGGAAAATGACTTTAACTCTGACTATTATTTACTCATTTATTTAACCACTGAAGCATATTGTTAGCCTCTGCTGAATGTCTAAATGCAACTTTGCATCTTTTCAAATACAATAGACTATGTGCACGTTAGCATATGCTAGTCTGGTGTGGAAACTCCTGTGGGGAGCTTTGTTTCCGGTGTCCTATTTGCGCCTTGTTTACGGTCCAAAACAAGTTTAGCAAATGAATGAATTGAGCAGTGAGTTACATTTCTATATATGTCTTGGGCATTTACCCAATATATCTGTAAATGATGTTCATCGACTTCGATATTTTTCCCTGCGCCTCAGAGCAAAAGAGAAAAGGGATTCAAATGTTATATTTCTCAGTATCTGTAAACAGCGGTCCCTTGTTTATCGCGGGTGTTTTGTTCTAAAAATAACCAGCGATAGGTGAAATCAAGTAGCCAATTTAATTTTTTGACGGTGCAAAACGTTTCGTCAACATCGTCCACATACAGTACTGCACTTCAGAGTCACACTGCTAGCGATCGATGCAGCGATTCTGTACTGTACAGGAGAGACGTCATGGAGGAGATCGTCTGCAGCGATCAGGACGCGGGACACAATGTGTGATAAACAAAAACATGCAAACTTGCACTAAAAAATCTGCGAAACAGCAAGGTGAAAGGTGAACCGCGTTATAGCGAGGGACCACTGTAATTTTGAAGGTAAGTCACAACATACCCTTCGTACATACTAATGTATAGAAACCCTTACCAGCAATCATTCATTTTTTTGTGTGGCTTTTTTTCACGGTTTGTTGACATGCTGTGTAGGTGTGTACTTGACTAGCTGATATGACATAACAGGGCAAACATCTGGTTTGACTATTCTTCATCTGTAGTTTGAATGCTGAACATTTGCCTGTTTAAATCATAAGACCAGTCACTATACAGAGATGTGCTTCTGAATGTGGACGATGTGTCTTCTGCATGCAGTAATGCAGTTCTGCTTGTGTTGAGTGATGTAAACAACTGATCGATCTAAACTCTTTAAACGTCAAAATTGATCATTAGATTTTATATGACACAACAGTGGTGAGTGTTCCCACCTTCTGCTCTTTGTAACTTAACGCATTCTTTCCGTTTTCGAGTTTTGGACATGATTTTGGCGTATATCTTCGCAGTAGCGATTGACCGCAAAGTAAAGCTACCGGAAATGTACAACCCCACATCCGGTCTCAAACCAGGAAGTTAGCATTTTCTCGTGCACAGGGTCTATTACTTTAGAAGGGAGAAAGGAAAAACACTTTCAGCGACCAAAGATAACTTAGTATACATTAATTTATATATACACTATCTATAAAATACAAATGGATATAAAACTGTCCTTTAAGCCTTTTACCGGCACAAAGCTGTTATTTAATAAGAACTACATATCAATTTTATTCTAATCTAATTAACAAGCAGATACATAATGTCCAACAACACATGCATACTCATTCTTGATCCGCAGAAATGTAGTCATATATGGAGAACAACACAACTTTGTGTAACATCAATGGACTGAAAGGAAAATGACCACCTCCATTAACAAGCGCATTCTGTTATTATAACAATTTGAGCTTGTAATTAAAAACAACAGAGCTCATTATTTTACCCCTGTCCCGGGATGAATTGGAGCACACTCCTAATGAATGCACTGGTTGGCACTGCATTCATTAGGAGAATCAGGCTAGATCTTGGCTAAAAACATCTACTAGTTTGATGTAAATGGGCTTCAGACAGCAATTACATAACCAACTAAGTACTTCATTATAATACCGAATATTCCCATGTCCTCAATATTATGTAAGAGGGAAATATAAAAACAGCCACCTGAATCTTATGAGCCACGAAAGATAACTCTCAAGGACACTGAGTAATGCTGCATCATTTCCTCATCACAAAGTGTCCAGGTGAGAAATGAACGTAAGACAGAGAGCATTGCATTTCCTCTCTAGTAAACACACAGGATCAATGTTTAGTGTCTGTGCAGGGACGCTCGGGATGCTCTCACGAGCCGATTCAGCCCAATAACCTTAAACTGAACACAGGAAGACAATGGCTATCCTTGTAAGTGATACTACTCCGCTTGCTTCCAAACAGGATCGTCTGTCACCGCAACAGGACACCCTTAAGGAATGTAGTGGCTACACATACGTCGCCTGCCGAGCCGTTAGTGAAGCTGCCACTCAGGAGCTTAGACACAGTGGCGGTGGTGGTGGTGGGGGTG